CCTGTAGCATTCTCTCTTTTCACGGTGACGATGGGCGGCCCAAGTAGAAATCATGAACTGGCGAGGTCCAAGATAGGCTCCGGCATCCAGAATGGCGGTCGTCTGGGTGTTGCCTCTGAAGCTTGCTGATGAAGAGCCGGCCAGTTGGCGGGCCAGCTGTTTTCGTACCAGTTGACTGGTGGAACCTCGATGTTTAAAGACGGGCCAGGCTGGTACCCAGTGCTGGCGATTGGAGGAGCCAAAGTGGAGGCAAAAGGTCGCAACGATGTGCTCGGCAAGGCGTCGACATGGCTGCTGGCGGTGGTGATCTGCGCGACTCCGGTGGGGAATGTTGAAATTCCGGTGATGCCCGATGGTCCTCCTCTTTCTTCCTCCAACTTCTTCAGGAAAGGGTCCTCCTCGTTCTCCCCTGCAATCTCCAATGCCGGAATCTCGCCTTCCTTCACTGGCTGTGGGAACAGCCCGATGCTCTCACGGGCTGTTTCCATCTGGTTCCAAAGGAACTCAGCATCTAGGAAGGGTGTGCCGTCCAGCACTCGCATCGGCCACTTTTTCTCAAGCGAAAGGGTGTGGGCATACAAGCTTCGACAGAAACCATACGCATCGTGTGGCATCGTGAGTTGATCAACCGTTAGGGCGCGGCCCCCATTGCCGATATTCACGCGCTCAAGTTTAGCCTTGAGCTTTTGCACACGAAGCCTTAGCTCCGCGAAGTGTGCCTTGACTCTTTTACACTGGTCGCTGGTCTTAGTCTTTTCAGACATCTTTTAAATTTAATAAAATGTTGCTAATGATTTAACAAAAAAACTGAAAAAATTACATAATATAATTGTAACCAAGTGTAATAGTTCTAAAACTGAGTTTATCAATTTAGTTTTTGCTTTTAGTTGTATTCAACAGCTGTGGCAGTAACATTTAAAATCATTGTGCACTGCCGCCCTCTGTTGTCTACAGAGCCGACTCTGTGAAGCGCAAGGTTTTTATACTGCACAACATAAACAAGCGAGCACACACACACGCACGAGCGCTCTACTTTGCTAATCCACCCGGCAACAGCTTATAAAGTTACGACTAGGTAAACAGTTACTTTAAAGTGTCCATTTAACTTTTGAAAGCATTAATTTTTGTTTCAGTATTCAGTTTACTCGATTTTCGTGCATTCTATTTTGAAATGTGTTTGTTCTGAGTAAGCATCCTTTTTCGCCGTATGTACTATTGTAAATTGTTATTTGTTGTTGTTATTTGAGCGCTTGTATTCACCAATACCTTATTTGCGTTATTGAAAAACAGATAATCAAATTTTCATTTGAGAGAACTTTTCCATTCCGAACACTGTCATTATGGATGACACACTCAAATTCCACATCCGACACTCAATCAAAGGCTGCAAAGCATTGGACATTTGTCGCCGTCTAGGCAATGCAATTCGATACGCCCAAGCCGACCACCCTAGTATGCCGCTATCATCCAACACAAACGAGCTGTGTTTGTCAACAAGTGTCCGCACCAAATTGGAAGACATTGAAATAGCTCGAGCCGCAGGCGAAAACCAGCTCCGTGATGTTGTCGTCAAAATGTGCGACCGCTCCAGTTTTTCAATAAAGTATCCCACGCCAGAACGTTTGATGAATGTCAAAGAGGCAATCACCAACCTTAACAATGAAATTGAGCTTTTTTGCAAACTGATCGACCACTTGTCAACACAGTTTGAAGGACTGGAAACAAGCAAACGCTCCAAGGATGCTCTTTCCCTTGATCTAACTTTTGTGCCACAAGCAATTTACAGTGAAACGGTGCTCAAAACGGCAGCTCAAAGTGGAGAACAACTCACTGAAACAGCTCTCGACGAGGCCAAAACAGCAGAAAGCAGCCCATCATCTTCATCATCATCATCATTGGAATCAGCAGAAACAGCAGTGGCCAAATCGGCAGTTGCCTCCATGAACGCGCTGATGTTCAATCTGACCTTCCAAATGAATCCCCACTACGTGAGCTACCTGCTCGACCTGGTTGGCTCACACCTGACGCCGCTTAAAAGTTACACTTTGGAGGGCGAATTTGGCTGCGGCGGCCAGGGCACGGTGTACCGTGCCAAAGAACTGGACGACGGTACCGAGGGCGCCGGTGAAAAGACGTCTCGTCTCATCGCTCTGAAGGTCAACTGCATCACCCGGAACTCCTACCGGAGCGTCACCCGCGAGGTGATGTTCGTCTGCAGAGAGGCGTCCAGCAGCCTGCAGCACCCCAACATTCTCAGTTCACTGTACTGTTCGGTGTTTGCCGTCAAAAAGGACTACTTCATGGCGCTTGCCTTTGAGCCGATGTTCGACGGCAGTCTCGATAAGTACGTTGAGTTCCACTGGCCGGATCGTTACATTGCCTGTGTGTTGCGTCAAGTCCTGCTTGCTCTAAGCTACCTCCACTCAAAAGTAAGTGTTTTTACCGGTCAAGTTTAAAAAAGTTAATTTTTTTTAATTTAAGGGAATAGTTCACAATGACGTCAAATCGGACAACATTTTACTGAGCACTGGCACTGTGAAACTGGCCGATTTTGGCAAAGCAATGCGCCTGGCAGAGTTTGAGCCAAATATCCGTGGCACTCTACGCTGGGCAGCGCCTGAACTGATCAGTGCCTACTTGAAAGGCGATAAAACAAGCAACAGTTTTACCACTGCAGCCGATGTGAGTTTGACTGTGTGAAGCACACGTTGACATGCACTTTTGTTACATATTCAAAATAAATGGTTTTCAATGTTTACCTACTTAATACTTACACATATTTTTTTGCAGATTTGGTCACTGGGCGCAACACTGTACGAGCTACTAGAGGGCAACTATCCCTTTCATGTCTACAATAATTCTATTCTCCATGACGTCATACCCACTCAGCGACTTGCTTTAACAAACAGTGAAAACCATTCAAATGCTGTCGTGCAATTGTTTTCATCGTAAGTATTGCTTTATTTTATACAGCCGTTTTAAAGTTTTGCAAAACTAACACTGTTTTTTAAAACTAATAGAATGATTAAAATGAATCCATCCAAAAGACCTTCAGCTGATTTACTTCTTACCACCTCGTTCATAAATGAAACGTGTGATCTCAACGAACTGGCTGATTTTATTGAACAGAAGAAATTAGAAACAAAATAAATTGTTGCTTTTGTTAGTTTAAAAATATTTTAACAAAACTTTATAAACCTTAAAATATTATTTTTTACTACTAAAATGTTTTTTTGTAAATTTCAATATTTTTAAAAAATGAAAAATGATTACTGTGATTTGTAATGTTTTATTAAAAGTTCATAATTTGAGCAAAAATGTTTTTGTCAAGTTTTTTTTGTTTTTAAAACTATTTAATATGCATTTTGCAAAATAATTTTAGCTGAACCATAAATCTCTTCTTTGTTATAAGTAAGTTTGCAAAGTGGAACGCCAGAAGACTGATTGTGAAGAAACTTTAAGACACTTTGCAAACAATTACGAGCAGTAGAAAACGAAGCAGTTGGGTACTTTTGAAAGTTAATGAAACAGCAGTTTGTGCATTGAATCTCATCCAGATGAAGTGCCCGCAGATTGGGCAGTGTAACTGGAACGTTCAAGAGCTGAAGCAGAGAATGGTCAAATATTCTAACCAACATCAAATCCAACGCCTGAACTGAGACCAGTTTTGCCGTAGGAAGATCAATGACAAGGTCTCTGTCGTCCGGATCAACTATAAAGTTGACGCGCAACTTCAGGTAAACCAGTTTGCAAAGCTTTCTCGACAAAACGAAAAGCAGTCGATTGTAGAAGAAAACTGAAACCTCCAGCGCCAGCGAAGTAAGGTTGGAGAAGTTGGCAATCTTCAGCGAGAAAAGGTGATCACTGTGGTGCACGGGCAGTGGATAGTGGTTCAGCCGGCGGAAGACGCCTCGAAGTGGGCCACCGAGGCAATTCAGCCGGTGCAGCAACCTGTCATCGCACTCATACAGTTCTACGCTAAGTGACTCCGGTCTGATCAATTGCTGTTTTAATATTTTTTTTGCCCTTGCGTACTGCTTGAGCGATTGCAACAGCGGTTTCATGTTCTCGGCAAAGTAGGAGCGCAGATTGAGGTGGCTGAGCCGCCGGAGAATGGGCAGCCTTTCCAGTTTGAGGTTGTCGAGGGTGAGGCTTTTTATTGCCGGCAGTTCGTTGATGGCCGCGTACAGCGCACGAAGATGACCTTGAGGGTTACCGGCACTGTCTGCTTCAGCTGAGGAGCTCCCAACCGGAACCCCCCCTCGGCAAACTACGCTCAGGCTGATTAGCTGAGGTCGCCAGTAGCGTTGGCGGCCATTCTTGCTGGTGGTGGTTTTTGGCGGGGATGTCAACATTTGCCGCAGATGGCAAAACTCAGCGGTGCTCCAGTGGCCGTGGCAGGCAAAGGTGAGCTGGCTGATGGCGGGAAAGGCAGAGATAATCTGCTGTACGAGAGCTGAGGTCAGCTGACTGGGGGCGAATTGCAGACAGTTCCACGTGACGGTAGGGTGACGCAGGCAACAGCGGTTGCCCTCCTTGGTCATCAGTGGACCCACGTGGGGACCAGTGCACAGTGAGTACCAGTTGAGGAGTTTGTCTAGAAAGTGCTGCTGACGATGTTGTTTCTGACCCGGTATGATGTCAATGATGGCCACAGTCAGCGATTGAGTGTCTCGGTGTAGCTCCTTGATCCGCCAGTGCCACTTTGGGCAGACATTAACGGCCATTATCTTGTCGGTGGCATTCATTTGGCTAAAGATTGCGAGCAGGCAAAGTTCCGGCATGTTCGCTTGTCTTTTCTTTGATAGGGACATTTTGAATCGGGTGTTTGTGGCCTAAAAGAGAAGATGAAAATGAATTAGTAAAATGGAAAAGCAGGGGTGAGTGAGCCAGCTGAGAACAACAACACAACTGTCCACCTGTTTGAGTTGTCCACAGTGTGGGCCGCACACACGCACATGGCCTAACCACCAGAGGTCTCCATAAGGACTAAACATTCTTGTTCTCGCTTTTACCCTTTACTGCGTTACGCTGTTTGTGTTTGTGTGTAGCCCACCAAAATAAAGATTGGAAAACAAAATTAGTTTGGTGAGTCAAATAATTAACGATTTACTAAATTCAAACTTTTATTGTTGTCTATTTTTAGAATGCGGTAGTTGAAATGCTTGATTTTGATAAAATTATAAACTAAAAACATTGGTTCAGCATCAGTAGTTTAGTAACGCAGCAGTTCCGGGTGACCCTCGCTGACCTTCGCTGCCATTTTGTGGATCGTATGTAAAATTGCACATAACAAAACAGCTACTGACCAAAAGTTAATTGATTGCAACCAACCGGTAGTGATTTTCAGTTAAAGTTGATGACCACTTTGCTTAAAATGAATGTTAGTTTATTACCCATTTTGTTTGTGAACCATTGTTAATCGGTTTTATGTTTTTGTGCTTGTTGTAGTATAAAAACAACCTTTCAGCTCAACACTAGCAATATCATTCAAAGTAAATTCTCAAGTGAGAAAAGTTTTGCAATGGCCCGAACATCTACTTTTCAAGTATTGATTTTTGGTTTCTATACCTGTCATTCTTTGGGATTGCTCACTTTGTCAGTCCCAAACACAGTCAGTTCTGTTGCAGTCAAAAATATCAACAACAGCAACCACCGAAACAACAAACTTGCCCCAATTAATGTCGAGTTTGTTGTCACTAATTCAACCAGTGATTTGCCGGTTAAAAATGTTCCAACATCTTTTCCCCCAATTTTTGCCCGTATTAACTCTTCTCTCTCCCCTCGTTCTTCATTTGATGACCCTTTCCTTGACTACGTTTTTTCATCTCCCGTTTCAGTCACCCATTTCCTGCCACATCCTATTGCAAACACTGAAACTAAATCATCGATTTCTAGTGAGCAAGACAAAGTGGGAAGTTTTGATGTTCCAGAGTCTCCAGCCAGAAGAAAGTACAAAAATAGAAACAAAACACGTGTTCGCAGACCGAGACCAAAACCATCAACGCCAAGTTCACTACAACAAAGATTTGGAGTTGGCAGTTCTACTATTTCTCCACACATTACTTCTGTTAAAACAACTTCTGTTTTCACTACTTCCTTTTTTCTAGAAACTGAGTCCAGCATTGTCACTACAACATTATCACCATCAACAGCAACTTCTTTTGAAACTACTGCCAGTCAACTCAAAACTGACTCGCCCAAAAATCCATCAAATCATTCACCCATAGAAATATTGGATGACAACGTTGTTAAAAAGGACAATTTCAATTCAACCGTCGCTCCTGCTTTTCATGATCGAGAAGTCACCTTTTTAGGGCGTCTTTCATTTCGACTGATGGACGCTTTAGAGAAAGTTATTCTGAGCAATGAGGCGCTTTTAAAGTTGTCTCAAACAGCACTCACCAACTTTAGACCGGTTAATGTATCTCAATTTGCCTGCATTGACCCTCACTGCAGCCCAGTTTAAACCAATTTATTTAAACATCATTTAGAACAATCAACAAGTATCATGTATTTAAAAATTAACTAATTCATTTTTTAATTGGAACATTATTATCACTTGCAAATTTATTCACAATCATTCACACACAAGTTTTTACTAAAACTGTATTGTTTTTAAAATAATAAAATTTTTAAACAAAATAAAACAATATTTATATTTACTAAGTTGCTAAAGACAAATAAATTGTGTTTTAAAATTAAAAAACTTTTTACCAAAAACTACATTTTTGTTTTGGGTTCATGACAGTTCCTAGTTGACAGTTAAAGGCTTGTGAAAAAGGTAAAAAATTGCTTAAAGCAACATTAACGCGATACTGCTGAAGAGTGTGCAAACGACGGGAAATATGTTTCTGTCTTGCTTCCATTGTGTAACTGCTGCACAAACTCTGTGACGAAATGCAATACTGATTGTTTTTATAATTTTATAAAAGTGGCTTACCTGAGCAAATGATAGAAAGAATAACTGTTCAGTTGTGTACTCGCCCATTTGTGGCAATCCACTTGGCTTTTTCATTTGATTTTTTTTCAAATTTTGATAAGCGGCAAAAGCAATTTCTAAGCCGCTGCTGTCAGCAATGTTTTCGTTTAGTGTAAGGCGACCATTGAGCTATTTGGATAATATTGTAATGGGAAAATTATAAAACAAACAATTAAAATATTGTTATTTTACCCTATTTCCAGTGACTTTATCAATAATTCTCCCATACTGCTCAATGAAACAATTCAGTTTTTGGTCAACATTTTTTTGCGTTTTAAAACTCCACACTGAACCATAGTTGTAAAGTAGTTGATTCCTACTACTGCCGCCTCTACTTCCTCTTTCATCAAAGTGGTGCATCATCTCGTGGCCGATAAAAGTGCCTAAAATTGCGTAGTTCATGTAGTCCGGCCGGTAGTAATTGTAGTAAGGAGGCAAGAGAAAGCCAGCAAAAAAGTCTATAAACAAAAAAAACAGTTTAAATTTTTGCAGTTTCCTAGTGCAAACAATCATACAAACGGTACTACTAGTCCATTCGGCGTACGCATTGACAGAGGTCAACGAAGAGGGCCATTTTTCCAGTGCTTCAGATGTAGCATTTTTGTATAAGCTGTTTTTCACTTTGGCGCTTTGATAGTACTGCTCGATGGCTATGAATGACTCTAGAAAATGACCCCTTTTGACGGAAGGTGGAGGACCTTCTGGTGAGGTGAAACCGTAGAAGGCATCCACCTGGTGGTCATTGAGCAGCCAGTCTGGAGTGAGAACTTTAACCTTCAGTGTTTGAACTTTCTCCCAAACTCGTTTTCTGGAGATGGCGTCCAGCCAAGAGGCAGCTGAATGGTTTTCTATTAAGTTCAAAAAAGAGTTTCGTATTTCTTCAACTAACTGCTCTACCGGTGCTTTCAAATTTGCCAGCTGGTGCTCGTCAATGAACAGTTTGGAAATGGCATAGTCAAAGTGAAAGCGCACCTTTCTCAGGCACCGACTCCACAGTGGCTTCACCTCGTTCACCTCTTCTACAGCTCTGACGTACTTTTTGGCAATCTCCTGCATACGAGCATCACCAAAGTCACTGTACGTTAATGCAAAATAGGCGCCTAAAAAGTTGAGCAGCACGTGGCGTGGTGTGGCAAAAAGCAAGTCGGCCAGTTTTCGATAGTACACT